TCTACCCTCCTTAGGACTAGTTTATATACAGTACAGTATATTCTAGGATTTAAAGTAATATTCTAATTCTCTCGGCCTGGCGTGCCAGACAAAGCTAGTATAATTGAAAAACGAAAGTTGCATAGAACGCGTTCGCATACGCGTCTCACTTTCACGACACTTGATCATTTTCCAGCCTTGATACAATTTGTCGACGATAAAATGATGTACTGTATAATTACATCATTTTTCTTCAAGAAAAAGTTGTAAGCAGGAAATCATTCATTAACCTTGTAAAAGGCTACACGTGTAGCATGCGTGGCAGGTGATCTCCAGTATGTAATATCCTCACGATGTATGACTTGACAAGGTCGATCAATCCTCAATAAAATGGGATGTAGCTGCTAGCAATCGATGTGTCCAGCATCCCATAACGAACTGTACAGTACTGTACAAACAGTGTACACTACTGTACAGTAATGGTAAGGCACCCACTGGAAGCCTTTCTCACTACTTTCATTCATTGTAAAAGCAACCACTCAGAATACGTTCCTTCCCTCCCGAAATACTGCAATAGTACAACGAGAACGGTCATCAATGACAATATCATTCCAGACTGGAACAATATCGCCCGCTTCCCGCTCAGGAAAGAACGTTATTAATCCTCCTCATGGTTGATGCGGTTGTCTTCTTTGGAGAAGAAAGACGGGACGTGTACTATAGAAATGATCCTAGAAAGTACAGTCTTAAAATATTTAACAAAGTACCGGCTAATTTATAGTGCAATATGGACTTCTTTGATTACAGGCGAAAAAATCTGCATAATTTATTTACAGTATCACGTATTGTAAAAAGTACCGGTGAAACTTGCTGTGCAGTACTGTACTGTACTACTGTACTGTACAGTACAGTATTCAGTACTTACAGTATTTAGTAGTCTATGATATAGTACTGTACTGTACTGTACACTGTAGTCATCGATTCATGAAATCTTACCGTGCACCAGTAGAACATGTGTTAACGAAGTTACGGGCCAAGTATGGAATCGGGCATCCAGATGCTCGATTATTGGTGCCGCGAAAGGAAAGCTGACAGATTAACACCAGGTGTTGGTGGTACAAATATCCCGATCAAACCAAGTTCAAATGTGATATACAGTACAAGTTCACGCCTTTCAAATGACGAATTTATCATACCTTGTTTCGAAGTTGAGATCTGACACTACTCAATCGGTGCCAGGGCTCCAGTCATAATATAGTATACTGTACTGTACTGTACAGTACTGTAATGATTTTGTCAGACTCCGGCTGTTAATATGTTGTGAGCTGATTCAATCGCAATTATTGTTGGGAACTTCTATTTTTTCGGATAGACTGCTGTAGATACTGTACTCGTTGATTGCATCGTGCACAGTATTCATTCACTGCAGTTCTCACAGCTAAAGCGGATTAATCAATTGATCAACAGTCAGGTCTGCACGGATGTTAATATATTGTGAGCTGATTCAATCGCAATTATTGTTGGGAACTTCTATTTTTTCGGATAGACTGCTGTAGATACTGTACTCGTTCTTTGCATCGTGCAAAGTATTCATTCACTGCAGTTCTCACAGCTAAAGCGGATTAATCAATTGATCAACAGTCAGTCTGCACGGATGAGAAGTGGCTGTCCGATTCCCAGGTATCATTATCACATCCTTATATCGTGTTGCATTGCATAATAAACAGCCCTGGACTGTCGCTGGAGATCAATGCATTCGACCGTTGCTCGGTTATAATAGACGACAACATTCAAAGTGCAATATTACTACAGAAAGAACAAACTCCGGTGATTGCATCATGTCCCAAAGAAAAATTTTAATTTATTGCGATGATGGCTCAGCCAACGTTGATGTAGCTGAAGCGAGCATAAAGCAGGCAATAAATGAGCTGCATCTCCAGAATGATTTTCAAATTGAAAATGTGACCGCTAATGATATTATTGGTAACGAGAATACGTTGCTATCAACGAAATTATTTGTAATGCCTGGTGGAAGAGACCTCCCTTACGTTGAAAAATTAAATGGCCTAGGGAATCGACGCATAAAACACTTTGTCAACCAAGGGGGTTGTTATTTAGGCCTATGTGCTGGCGCTTACTTTGCTAGTAGCATAATAGAATTCGAGAAAGACACAGCATTGGAAGTTTGCGGTGCTAGGGAACTAAAATTCTATCATGGACTTGCAAAAGGATGTGTTTATCCTGGTTTCAGCTATAAAGATAATTCCGGTGCTAGAGTAGTACCAATTGAACTACACAAAGAAGTAGCCGACCAGGTTAGCTTTAATCAGTGCTCAGTTTATTATAACGGCGGTTGCGAATTTTTACCCTTAAATGATGACGTTGGCGAAGTGGAGATTTTGGCTTCTTACTCTGCCCATGATAACGGTAAGTCACTGCAATGGCTGAAATATTGATAAATTTAATTTAAGCTAAAGCTTGTCTAGCTACCGGCTACAATATCGTTGTAGACCAGTACAACATACTGCATACAGTACTTTCACAGAACGAATGGTATCCTTTTGTAAGCTAGCAAATCCATGTTCTGTGCTAGTAATTTGAACATTCTACCCCAAGGGTCTCCTGAATGACAGGATAGTGTACATGTACTATTTTAGTAATTGCTGCACCTATTGAACACTGACAGTCTATTAGGAGTTACAGTGCTGTAATTATAGTACGAAGTATAAAGCCACTATTACAGGGACGCGGCGAGCCCTCTAGAATGGCTGAAAGATGTTCAGCTATAGTGTTGCCTTAAATTATGTCTTTCAATTTTAAGAAATGTACTTTAAATTCGGCTCAAATTCCATGCAGACAGATCAGTACCACCTTGAGCAATTGACTCTTGAAATTTTGATTACTTTATATCGCAGTATTGAATAATATTTCTTTCAAGTTTCTAATACAAACTATCAGTCGCTGTTACATATACGGTCGCTCCAACCATTTTACAAGTCACGTCGTAATACCGGTCTATACCCGAACCCGAGGTATAAATCTATACCTTTTAACCATACATTATGAATGCCAGCCCGGTAGATAATCCATGATATAATAGTAAATAGACTTTCAAATATAACCTGCCTAACGAGATTGTTATTCATAATAGCTTAAATAATTATTTTTTAATGATTTAAAATTGCAGAAAACTCATCAGTCAACAGGCATGCTCCACCAATCGCTATAATTAAATGTAAAGTGGGTTCTGGCATTGCAATTCTTTCAGGTGTCCATCCGGAATACTCTGCAAATCTACTTAGTTCAGATAAATATGATGATAAAATACTTCAGCATTTACATCAATGTGAACACAACAGAGCCGTTTTATTTCGCAAATTATTGTCGATGTTATTATTGTAATGGCAAAATAATAGGAATGAACTGTTTTCATCCTTGAAAAGCGGCAATATTGACTTCATCTCTTACTTAAAGAAAGATGCATAACGTTAATCAACTTTGACTAATCGACTATCAGGAGTAAAGGTTATCATAAACAGTAGCATACTCTTATATTCAATTTTCATTTATTCAATTCCTTAAACCTAAAATCATACATACCGCTTTGATGAATTTAATTAAGGAATAAAATCAAGTAATTATCATTAATATTTGTAGCCAATTTAATATACACTTTTATATCTCTTGAATACATTTGAAAAGGTTGTGTATAATTGTAAAATTGAATTAAAAACATGTTTAAAACCGACGATCATAACGAAATGTTAATAAAGAAGAGATTTAAATTTCTACTCGTTGTCGTCGACAAGATTATACTAAAAATTTATTTTAAAATTCTGTAGTATCTGATCAATACTTGGCTGCGTAGCATATTATACAAACAGTGAAAAGTTATATTAAATATAATTTAATAATAAAGCAAAATTCAAAAACACAGATTATGCTGAGATATTATTTATTAATACACTAAGTTGGTAATGCATACAGAATAGTTATTATGACTGCCATTTTACGTCACCAACTCTACCACTTGATAACTAGAACAATGAAGCAAAACTTTTAGCNAATATGCGTAGTTCCAAGTTGATAATTACTTTTAAATAATCAGGGCTCATCTATTACAATAATTATTACAAAAGCATTTCCCAAGAAATTGGATATGAATCGAATGATTTTGATCGTAGGTGATGTATTTAATGGTAATCACCATTATGAGTATTCAGTTAGATATTACCGGTACTAATAAATAATAATATACAATCATTATCGTAATTTACATTTTGAACGAATGAAATAAAAGCTTCAGGACTGTACTGCAACATAGTGTGTCCATGTCAGATTTATAAGTGAAAAGTAACTTTAGTGAATATTACACTAGTACTGCGATAGTATATATAATTTGGATGATTCACACTTAATATTCTAAAATGGTCAACATTCTTTTCTATCGAGTGAATTTTAGGCTAAGAAACTGATATATTACAATGTTGTAATGCTCTCTATGTATGAAGTATTATAAATAATACAGACAGAAAATTATTTACATTCACAATTCTCTAAACAATTCAATTGCGTTATACGACGTATCATAATGTTAATTATGAAAGTGTGCATGGTATAAGCTGCATCGCATTGTTGATAACATCAGTTATATATAAGTATCTATACGATAATACACTACTGGTATATATATATATATATATGAGCATATATCTTACTATACTGTATATTTAAAACGACAAATTATCATAACAGAATATAATCTATGATTTTAACGAAGCAGTATTGTATGTTCGTTTTTATATGCAGTATGTAGAATTGGTAGATAAATATAGAAACATACAATAATTAAATGTATAATATGCCGTATTACAAGTTTCGAAGGAAAGCGCAAGTTAGGATACTTTAATTATGTTTATAAAAATTATTATGCTTGGATAAACATTAATCGGTTTATACTTGACAATAGTATGATATTCTGGAGTTGAAAAAGATTATGATATCTACTACTCTGAAGTTATCGATCTATTCAATAATTTAAAAATGTACACGTTAAGCTCAACCCTTAACGTTATATTACAATCAACAAGATTGGCGAATAATGATACATTTAAAAATTATTCTCAACTGTTACGAGTGTATGCAGAAGTTTTATATCTTGCTGTATTGGAGTTGATAGTATTCAAGTACATATTCACAACAATTTCCTATTTCATATGTGACTCGGTACTAAACTATCGATTGATCGGATTTCCCACGCAGAAAGTACGTCATCATATTCCCTTTACCTTTCACAGATATTAAACCACGGCATTCAAAGACGAATCCACGTCCAGCTAATACTTTGGTTACTTCCTCTGTAACCTAAAACGATCAAATATCATAATACTGTAGATACAACAATGTCATGTTCTGTATATAGTTTTCATCTATCTAATAGCATCAAAGACTTTGAAATTTATTAGTCATTACAACTGTATGTACAACATCATAAACTGATGATACTTAAATGAGAGGAAAATTGAGTAATAGATTAATAATCTATAGCAATTGTAGATTCGCATGCTATTGAAATAAGTAAATTAGTCCATACTGAGTTCTAGGAGATCTCATACCTGAGTAAAGCCAGGTTTTCCGGTAGATTCCATACGACTAGCAACATTAACGGTGTTACCCCATATATCATATTGTGGTTTACGGGCTCCAATAACCCCAGATACAACTTGGCCAAAGTTAATGCCTAAATGTTTATACCAGCTTTTAGCAATACAACTTCATAACACTATGATTTATCAACAAAAACCTTCAATACAGCTAAATAACAATAGCAATCATCATTACCGACTCGTAATTTAAAATTGTTAAATGAATGTTTATTGATATCTTCCAGTCTATCCATCATTCGCATAGCAAAATTAGTTAAAGCGGCCGTACATTTCGCTCCATCTTGCTCTAATTTCTATATATTATTAAAATTTTCGAATAAGAATTCTATTTAGAGTAACTGTTGGATAAAGTATGAATTAATTTCTTCAACATTTAAATGATCTTTACCGGATCAGGAACTAATCCAGCCGCGGCCATATACGAATGTCCTGTTGTTTTAATCTTTTCAATATACTTACAGTCATCTTCCATTAGGAGCTATTGTAGACAGGTTTGAATATGAGATTAGGGTGAGAAATCTAAGTTAGGTTGCTATTATATATATATATATATACCATATATGTTTACGTATTTATAACTACTTTATACATTTAATTTTATGAGCGTATAATAGAAAGTTTTTCTTTACCTCATCAAAATCTGCGATAATTTCGTTTAGCAACCTAAGGCATTCAACCCCCTCACTAACACTGTCCAACTCGGAGTAGAAATCGGAAAAGTTGGGTATTGAAGAGAACATAACGGCTACTTCATCACAGGATTGATAATATAAATCCTGTGTTTTTAGGCAAGCACATACTCAATATTACTAAACTATAATTTAGTTAGTTACAGATATACATTATAAAAAATTTTTAAAACATGAAATTTAAAAGACTTTTATTTACCTCATGTCTTCTATTAGTTTTCAAAAAATGCTCCGCGACATGAGCTGGCAAAATATTACAAAGTAACAACTGATTACGTCTCTTTAATATTTCCATGTCATTTTTCTCTTCAGTAGCCTTGACGTACGTAATTGCAAATGTTTCATTTCATTAGCAACATACAGTACTTAATAGCCTTGTTTCATATTATCTGAATTTGATTATAATACTATAGTACCTGTAATTTCCATAGGAAATCTAGCCTTGCTGTAGCTTCAATCTGTTGGGAATAGAATTGATAAAATTGTAAATAGCTAACGAGTTGTTCATTGATCAGGTTATATACAGTATGTGAATCTGCTACTGATTCCAAATAATGCTATCGCATTTATTTGATATGAAGAATAATATTAAATATCAAATTTTAATCTTTTATCTTATATCCTCACTTGTCTAGCATGAATCGAAAGCGCTACTACATAAATGCAAATAACTACGCCGGCAATCGTAGAAAGCGAAGGTTGAGAGTATGAGTTTGCTGATGCGGAATTAAATTTCCTGAAATAAAAAATAAAACATAAGTTAAAATACTATTACAACACCGAGGCATTGAAATTATAGTAACACAGTATAGTCCAACAAACTTACTCAGTCACATTATCATATCTTGCAAATATAATCGTATAATCCGATGCTAGTATTATAACTAAGTAAGTGGCAGTCATAATGATCATCAATACTATCTTGATCAGATGACTTAATTGGAGGAAAATTCCACAACATAATAGTGCCATAATAACGCTGAAGTCAAAGTACTAAAATTTGATAAATAATGCCAAATCATTAACATTAATAATCAAATTGAATACCGATTGCATCCTAAATTTGTATAAACAGTTGATATAAATTACTTGAGGAAAACTACAATTAGGCGTATCAGGTAATAACTGCGAATAATTTTCTACTGGATAGCCACGAATAGTGTTTTGACCGTTAACAGCAGCTGTACTACACCCAAACTGTAAAAATATCGAAGATCCTTAGTAAAAGACAATGGCAATAAAATATGTCATAGTAAAATGGTTCAATTAATTAAGAAATCATAAGAAATTTTTGTTACGGTACAGCAATTAAACACAACTGCAATACAAATATTATCATTCAGAATGTAAATACTATAAAAATTATATCTTGCTTACCAGTACTCCAATGGAAGTGAAATAAACGATAAAGATTGTGGAAATAGATAATATAAGACAACTATAGCGATTTGTAGCTAGCCATCTCGAAGCATGACGTAAAGATTTTGGTAGAGCCTTATGAAATCAATCAACAAATAAGATTAAGCATATCTCAAAAAACTTTTTTAAATTTAATCCATTACGAAAAAAGTAATATTGTTACCTTAAATTTATATGCCAAAGTCATAAATTCAATCAAACTTAATATAACAAAAGCGGTTAAAAATAATGGCAGCATAACAGGATCCCTGAAGTTATGATGATAGATTAGATTTTAGGTCACACAAAATGCATAACGTTATATAGAAATTATTTTAAAATTATTGCGAATTAAACAGATATTCATATCGATATTTATTAAGATATCAATAATCTATCAAGCTATCTATCTGTTCATCTTACTTTGGCAAAATGGTAATTTGAGCAAAGCATATAAAAATAAAGATGACATAGGCAGCTGACATATAGCGGTTGAACATACGATCACGCGTTTTACCATACTATAAAATTATAAGCAATACAAGTATTAAGACAGATGTATTTATTAATAGACGCTTGTTAATATAACTCAAACACAGTTTATCAGTACCATATTAATAGCAAAGTTGAACAAATCAAGATGAGCAAACGTTCAGCAGATAATTTTTTATTTACAGCAATTATAAATGAATGATTATAGCTTTAACTGACTTACGTCGCGCTCTGTATCTGCGTTCTTAAATTTAAGTAAAAACTTGTGTGATTTCTCTGATAACTGAATGCTGCTACAGTTTGTAAAGAATACAAAAAAGGGTCAATTCCTATAAAAATTATTCAAATAATCTTTTGCAGCCACAATAGAAATTTAAATACTAAATAAGTAACATTCGTCAAAATTGATTTTCTACGCATATTTAATAATGTAAATCGATCCTGCTATGGATACTAACCCATCAGCACTACGAGCATTAATAGATCGCTTAAGTAGATCATTAACTTCATCTTCGAAACTCTTAACACCTCCTCCACCAATTCTGCATTAAAAAAATTTATCCAAATTATTACAACATAAAAAATTCGATTCTTATATTAGCACATTAACCTCAATCAAATCGGCACGCATAAGAATTACTTAAGTACTGATAATATAAACATATAAGAAATTTATCACTGTTTAGTTATACCATAACTTCTCTTATCAGTATTGTTAAGTATACGTATTGTACAAATAAATTATTCAGTAAAAACTATTTTATTATATAATGCTAACTGTAAAAGAAATTAACTTACATCTGCTTCATTTTGCCAGAAATGCCACCCTCCTGCACGTAGTGATAACAAAAAATTAGTATACGGTAGCAACGGTAAATAATATTCTACGTATATATACAACACACAGTCATCCAGTCTTTCATCTCACTAATTTACATAATTTATTGAAATGTCGCTGATATATTTGAATACTAACGGCTTGGCCACCAAATGGTTTCTCTGAACCCCATTCTTCTAATCGTGTTTGTGAATTAGACCGACCTCTACCCTCTCGTTCGCCATCCCGTAGCGAAACACTCTAAGTTGGTCATGAAAAGTATTATTAGAGGATTACGTATAAAGATAATGCTTCAATGAGAGCTAGCTTTTATAATCAATAAAAAAGACAAAAATTATTCACTAAATTCATGAAATGCTTCTATTATCACTAATAGTATTCTACTTCATATTTTACCGCTTTATTTCGTGGAGTTTGGACGATTAAATAAGTTTTATAATTCTTGTCCTTCAAGTATTTATTTCTACTAGCACCATTCCCATCTTCTAATTCATATTCACCATTTAAACACTCCTTAGTTCCTTCTGTAATATGGATTCTCCTATTGAAATGAAATTAATTTATTAAATTCTATTGTCCCGAACTACAAAACAGCCTAAAACTATCGACAAATAATTGCTTTATCCTAGTAGGAAACCAATATAACACTGCCATTTTATAGCAATCTATTGTATCAATCATTATAGATGGATTAATAATAGAATTAATAGTACCGTTCAGCTTTAATTAAAATTATCGAGATTGAAACAATATTATGATGACTATCTTAATATTTTGTCGTCTATACCCAGGCAAGCCACCAGCTTCCATATTGTTGGCTAAAGTGACATCGTCAGACCATACATCAAATTGCCACTTTTTTAAGCCTAAAACTCCACAGAATACTTTTCCACTATGTATTCCAACTCTCATATTTAAATTAGCGACGCCAGTAGCTTCCCTTACAACACTAGAAAAAAGAGAATATAAAGTAGGGGAACAACCATTAAGGTTACTAATTCAAGTATTTTTCCAGTAGAGACTTTACAGATTTATCGAAAATTCTAGTAAACTTACGCAATAGAATCAATCATGCAAAGGCCCATTTCAACGCAGCAATGTCCATGATCTGGCCTCGGATCGGGCAATCCAGACACGCAATAGTAGCAATCACCAAGAATTTTAATTCTCAAACAGTGATTTTTCTATGATAAGAATATTGCTCATGTTAGTATAATATAACTTCCAAAATTGTTACATTTGGGTGAAACCGTAAAATTTGATCAGTAATTCCATCTAGCTATCGAATCACGATTTATTAAAGTTACGGATCGTAACATTAGGGTTTTTAACTAATAGTAAAGATATTGTTTATAATATTAATTTAACTCAGTGGCATTCAAAGTATAATTTTTTAGTCTATTTTATTTGTCTCTACTACTATAGTTATTTAATAAAACAGATGATAACAATAGCGTTAATAATCGTCTTTCAATGCACGGAGTAGCTATCTCATACATAGAATCAAAAAGGTAATAAACCACGATATTCTATACCATTTACAGGATTGGCTAGTCAATATAAATATTCGTATGTTATACCTTATTATAAATACATTCCGCAATAATTAGATTACTAAAAAGTATCCAATTCAAAATATGTTACAGTATTGTACCTTCAATAAAGTACTATCTCTAGTTTAATAATTTAGAATTGAATTATTCTTACGTTAGAATATTAAGGTAAAATTTTTGTTGTTGCTTGTCAGTTAAATAACTATTAAATATTAAAATTACTTCCGACAGACTTAAATTGCTAATAAAATGGTACGCTAATTCATTAACATCCTTTTGAAAAAGTCTTATTGTAACTATTCTACCTAGCTAAGTAAATCAGTGAAGTTACTTTACTCGTGATGTGTAATAAACTGAAAGTACAGAATCTAAAGAACATCCAATCAAATTACTCATAGTAATCGCTACGTACAGTATCTAATACGCAAGTATAAGTTTAAAAAAAGTCTACTATTAATATTATTAGGAAATATTTTTATATCAATTACTTTTTTAGCCAATAAGTTCCTTCAAAATTTCTCTAATAAGTAAAATAATAATTACTACACCGTGACTAACAATTTTTATGATAGTACAGTCGTCATATAATTTAGATGTTCTGGCATTACAACGGCTATTTATGATAAAATGCATGATTAATTAATAACCTCTTGGGTGCAATTATTGTCATGTGCAAAACATCATTGATACGCATGAATAAAGCTATCAGTTACTCATGGCAATAGATTAGCTTGAAATCATTTTTTATTATTGGCGATACTAGTTAGAGAAGTTATCAGCTATTTTATCCCTGACGTTAACATGTCACTAAGTTACCGCCTTAGAAATTGATTAATTAACATGATTTTACCTGTGCTAGCTGATCAAATCTAGCGAAAAGTTCATTCAGCGTTTTCACAAGTTCTTGAGCGTCACACTGAGATGATAACTTCGTAAAACCTTCAATATCAGCAAATAATAGACTAGACAGTACAAATACATAAATAATTAGTTACAAATGTAACACCCAAATACTTTCTTATCTGTTTTTATGATCATAAATTTCTTATATAAATGGATATTCTACCTCATCCATGTAGGTAGATAGTAAACTTGATAATAGGTAAATAAAGATCATTAACTAATTACGAATATTTTGGTCGAGCCTTTTTGCCTATCTCTCGACAGCCAAAAAATTAACTAAGCCAAGCTGATATCAAATGCATGCAATTAATTACAGATTTATAGATCACTGGTTTTAACTTGATTAAAATAATTTAAGTAGCTCCATTGAAGTTTATTCTTAATTATATGTAATTCTGCAATACTTTCGCTTAACATCTTTCTAAATTTTAGTTACAAAACTACCTTATTACATATACTAGATGAATTCATTGGTGAGATTTTAAGAATCTAAAATTAGACAACGAATATATTTACTAATAAATAGCTAAAGAATTCTAATATAATGTATTTTACGCACAAAAAAATTACTACAAATATTTAAATGTCACTTAACAGTTTCATGGTGGTAAAAATTTTTGAAAAGTTTAAATAAAGTAGACAGTACTACTACCATACTCCATAGCTAATCAATGGTAAACTCATTTAAATGTACATTAAAAATAGTTTACAGCTTATACAGAATCGTAATATTCTTTTAACTTGATTTCTAACATATCGTATTGTTAATTATAATATAAGGAATTGAAATAATAGCGTGCAATAAAATCGCTAGTCAGTGTCAATATAGCGTTTCTATTCAAGAATACATTGTTGGTCGGGTATGAGCGCTTTAAGCCCTCCCACCGAATCCTACCGACTAACAGTCACATAGGAAAATAATTGCCCATTTTATAATAATTTACCCTATGAATAAGAAGTATGTTGCAGAAGTAGCGCACTGCTTAAACGTGTATTAAATTATACCCTGTTGTTAATGGTATTGTGAAAGCCTTGTCAATTAATACCCTCGACTATTTTTCGACATTTCTTACAGATAAAATTTTGGTCTTGTAAGATCATTATGTATCTACTGTTGTAGTAAAATTTTTAATTTCTATTATTGCATTTTTAGTAACTAAGTAAAATAGACTAGAACTAAGAGACGTTATATTGGGAAGACTTTACTAAAGAAGCGATTACTTTTTTTGATAATATCATACTCAGTAACCTCGTTATCTCCCTAACATTATCACTAATAGCTGTAAAAGATCAATTTCACATTTTAAATGAAGTAAATTCTTTCAACTAAACACAGTTTGATCTTTTGTATTTCATAGGAGCTTTTAAATTATTCGTCTAGGAAGATTTACTATATAATGGATGTAGTTAAGTACTAGTTAGATCCTACAATATTTCTCATGTTACAAAATATTTATAACAATTTCCGAGAAAATTTTTAAAAATAATGAAGTAGGAGCGATTTTTAATCATAGCGTAGTATTGACTGTAACTTCTTTGTGTACAGTATCTATTAAAAATGTTAGAAAAGATTTCAAATATCTTTCCAAAATCAGCGTTCGTTATAATTCAAGAATAAAGAGTATATTGAAGTGCTCACTACTCAGTGATCTACTAGCCTGCTGTGTATATACAAGTTTATAGACAGTATCCAAGTATTATGGAATGCTACAAAGCTAAAATACATCATAGCCTCATTTTATATTTCTATCCTTATTATGAATAATTGAAATCAGTGGAATCACATTAGTCAACTTTAAGATACGTTCATAACTACAGTAAGAATCAAGTACAATATTATTAATGCTTCTATATATTGGATATTACAATACCGATGTTATTAAACTTCATATGCAGCCTTAACTTAACCGCTAGCATTATTAAAGGAATAAAAAAGTTCACTATTGTTGTTCTCCTAATTGTACTATATATAGACTATATTCTATTTTATCATTTTAAACAGATGATCTTAGGCAAGCGACGCTCTATCAGATCGGTTTTCTAATATAGAAACGCTATTTTAGTTCGTTTTAAAATATTAAAATAGGTAAAATAACCTGGTAAAAATATTCTGTACCGTAACTAACGGCAAGAAATGATTGGAAAGAAACTTTAATGATAAAGTTCATTTTCGTCAAGTCACTATACTACGTTAAGTTATCAGAATCTCTTATACAGTAGGTATAACAAAGTTAAGATGTCTACTTCCTCATTTAGATAAAATAGTTGATACTAACTGCAACTACAGCTATATAACCTTCTATTATCTATTTTTAATATTTTCCTGTTGTATTGCATTAAATGGAAAATTGGTTTAGTCATTTTGGCTACGTCGTCGTAATTAGCATTAGAATAAAATAAAAAAAATAATGACAACCAAAATAGATTTACTAATCCTTTCAGACTCACTGTTTAAAATATACGAAAAACATTAACTAAAGGGTTCTAGAATCATGTCGAAACCATTTTTTTCTCACAGCAAACATTGTGATACAGAACAGACAAAAGATTGTAAGCTAATTAATTAATGCAAGTATTATGAGAAAATAAAAAATAAAAATAACGGAGCCTAATTGTCATCAATAGCAATAGATGGGAATAGATCATAGAATTTCATTGTCTGTTTAGACAATCAGCAAAAGTTTCGAAAATAATTCATCTATTTCAATTTATACGAACTATAATGATACCGTGAGTTTCGATTGCCAAAACTAGGATAAATAATTAATTAGAAATATCTTGTCTAGTCTTGATACAACTATAGTAAAAGTTATTTAGGTCTTCTTGATACCTTTTATTGTTCACTATGTCACTTCATTATTTACTTGAATGTTATAATAATTATTTATAGTGGACTGTAGCAAAACAGCCATCAATTTGGGATATAGGGCAAATGAGAGATTGAGAATGATGCAAAAATAATTTAAATTAATCTCTAAATTTACCTAACATTTTCATGCTTTTGAATATAAATTTTATGAAATAATTGACTTTCACGCCTTATAGCTGAGAAATCACTATTCATTTCTACTGCTACGTAACGCGGCAAAACGGACATTAATAGACTTTCCTATAAAAGTGAACAAAATATTTAAAAATAATTATTAAAGAAAGTACAGGCTTAGGAAGGAAAGAGTAATTACGTTTAATTTGTATGAAATGAATTTGTTCCAAGTAAACAATCCGTTAAAGTATTAACTTAAAATAATCAACACGAAGAATATAAAAACTGAAGGTAGAGAAAAGATTCTTCTAGTCTGGAATTAATACACGATAACAATTTTCTATTCCTTCAATAGGTATGACAATTATAATAAACATCTAAACTTCTCAATTATAAATAATGTAATGTACTAGGAGTGTTAGTCAATGTCATATTAGTATGGATTGAATAATCACTAGATAAAGAGGAAAAGGAAATCAAAGAAAAAAGATAGAACTTTAAGCTAGTGATTCTATATCATTATGTAATAAATAATTTCTAAACCATCATAAGTTCATTAAAATAATATCGATAACGATTTAATATAAAAACTAAGACTTAAAATTTTATATATACGACATCGATCAACTATACACTGTATCTATACCGAGAATTGAGGCAATCTTCAATTAATAACATCCAGAAACTTACTTGTTTTTCATTTTCATGTAGAGATTTAACACGAGCTTCAATACATCGCCTCGTCTCAATAAATGCTTTACGTTGTTCAAGCTCAACCGGATAATGTGTAAATATTCCGGCTAAGTTGGCACACATATACAATAAAATATTTGCTACGATCTACAATTTCATAATAAAAATAGATGATGAAAATTTGTTATTTTTATTAAAGTGAAAGTAAAATTATTCTAATATACTGCCACTAGCTGTAATTTAGTATAAATTTTCAATATGAGATTAGAGGGTTACAATTTTGTACTTATCACTGAAAAATCATAATTCTTCGATCAAGTTGTATTAAAATATATATATGATAAGACAAGATCTTGTTGTAAAGAGTGAGCTTTTTAATTAAAGGATCATAATGGTACGACTAGCACAAGACTATTTCAATATGATCTAATTTAAACAATCGACAGTAGATTCAATTTGAAGATGATTTTGAACGACAAGTGACTAATATTATCGATAATAAATTATCCTACCATAGGCAATCATTAACTATTAAGCATAAGGAAATGAGTACGATTGAAATGATAAAAGATAATGTCAATCAGAATGTCTCAGTTTTATAAAATATAAAACTAAAGGTTATATAGTATCACTATCGAAATTAAATAACAGATGATAACCTTTATTTCAAGTATACACATCCCTACCTGTGTATCTATATGTATATTACACGTTTAACATTAGCGCTAATAACAAAATATAATCTATGTAACATGAAAATGATTAGCTTTGTCGTCTCAATTTAATGAAATATCAACAAAAGGAAAAATGAAATTTAAAGTTTGATTTTATAACTCTATTGGTTAGTACAGGAGACCAGATTAGTATAACACATTCGAGCATCAATGACGATAATATTTGATCTATCCTTCTCAATCAAAATAATTTTGATATTCTAAAACAATCTAATTCGGACCTTATGATTCGAACTCGAGCTATAAAATTAATCACTTAAGTAACTATGATGCTTTTATGCATTTGCTTTATGTCCACATGACAATTTACATCGATTTATTACTTGTATAGACGGCATTAATTAAAAAAATATACGGATTTACAACACATCAACTAACTGAAATTATCTAATTGCTAAAATTATACAAATTAAAGAAGTAGATTATTTGCTCACCTGGCGCCAAATATAATTATTGGAATAGGCACTACTACGAAACGAGTAAGTTAGACCAGTGGTCATAATTTGAATAGAAAGGATAGCAAGGGAACATAACGCAGCGTAGCCCATCGATATAGGTAGCATCGTATAAATGAAGTAAATAAGAATTAATGAGACCCAAACGCCATCTGTTGGCAATCCTACTTTGCGTACGACCGTATCCATTAATTCAATAATACACATTGTGGCAAATATTGCCCATGATATCCAATTAAGGTGCTTAGGCTGAAACCATTCAAAACCATGTGCGATAAATCCCAACAGGAATACATAAAATAGGCATATAATACCCAAAACTATAGCCACGTAATAATCTTCACTAATAATTTCACCACTGGAAAAATGAAATGCGACAATAACAACACACACGACAATCAATAAGACCATTAGATAGGTAACACTAGTTTGATTTAGACGGAAAAAGTAACGCTGATATAACTCTTCAAATTCACGAGAATGAAACTGCCTGGATTTACAAAAAATGGATTTAACATTATCCACGGTTGACATATTTGCACTAGTAATTGTTTGTTCTTCAGCTTCTACACGAGGAATCACTTTCGATTTATTTCCTTGGGGCTGAAATTTTGGTATTAATTTGTCTTTAGGTTCATTCTCTTTGCCATTACCTGGCTCAAGACCTACTTCCACCGATTGTACATGAACATTTTTATAATTGCGTAAGTTATTAGAATGACCATTACCCTGAAGAGTGCCATCATCGTCAACGCTATCACCCCTAGAAATCCAATTGCGGGGTAATAACTTTTCACCATTATCAGTACTATTTTTACTGAGCAAGATACAATCATCACTTCTACTATCATTTATATCATTATTATTTATATTATTTTTACTAGATTTTCGATCATTTTGTAGGATATTGTTATAATTTGTATCTACACCTTGAACTTTGATTGTTTGCTGGCTATTATCGATTCGATTAGTACTACTTGTGCTGGATGTACGGATAGATACTTTTTCACTACTTCCACTTTGGTGGCTTGTAAAACCTCGTCCATTATTATTGTAACTACCACTTCTACCATCTCGATGCTTATGATTATTATTGCTATTATTGTTATTTTCGCCAGTATTACCAGCACTCGATGGTCGGCTATCATTTGCATGTGGGCCAACTTTACTGGTGTTATGAGCTTTGGTGCTCAGACTTGATACACTTACACGCGATTGTTGACTAGTTCTACCACTTTGGCTATTCAACATGATCGATCTATTTTATCTTATCCTTAGTATCTTTAAACGTTTTGCCAAGACAATTTGATCTATAATAATGAATTGCAATGTATTATTACAAATATTTCAGGTCAATTTTAATGATTGATTAAAATACTTATTCTACTGGAGACTGAAGTTGATATTGCCGTTCTTGATGGAGAAGAAAGTGTCAAGAAATTTTTTAAACTCTCTAATTTCAATTTTTCATTCAATAGCATATGCCTACGAGAATAATGCTATAAAATAAACTATCAGCTAATAGCGTTGAAACGGAAAAATTAAGGAAGCTGATCATGATGATAAAATGCAAAAATAGACACTGCTACGTTTCAAAATTGAACAGATTGAAATCAAAAAATGAAAAAAGTCATTAATTACTTGATCGATAAGATGATTAAGATCATACATACGTTGGCTAGTAACTATTTTATAAGTCGTTAAAATTGATCGATCATTTCTTTACAGATTGCTAAGTTATCTGATCCATAGTCGATCGTGGAATGTAATAAGTTGAGAAGGTTAAAAGAAGAACAAAAACGCATCACATATGGATTAACTACAATTTAACCAGAACCAATATAGCTTTCATAGAAGAATAAGATCTTCTCTGATAGAACGAGAGCTCATGGTTGCCATAGCTACTTATCAACCAATCATATCATTATTTCTCAATTGGTATTATATACAACCCACGTTATAAATTGCATAATATTATTATTCTGATTATTGTTATTATTATTATTCAAGTATATAACAACTATGCTCCCTTTTTGCTTTCTTATTACTTTAAAGATAATAAGGACACGATGGTCGATTTAGATAAGTACTATTTCTTATTTTAATGGTACATAGAAAAAAAAAATGAAATAAATAAAATATAAAAGAAAAAATGAATGAGCATACTGTATCTATAGATCTATTTCTATACACATCTAGATCATTCTTATTGACAAGTTCTACAATACAGTAAACTATCACTGATATACAAGTTGGGTCAAACAGCGTGTGGTAGTGCATTGATACACTACCTTGAATTGACGATATTATTGTAAGGCTAGCTGTATAGAAAATATAGAAATTGTCCGATTTTCAAAATAAACTTATGTTATAGAAATTGATCGACAAAAGAAGAAACTGAGTCGATTTAAAGAGGCGGAGACATATCAAGATATCAATTTCCATACTTTTCCTTAAGCAAACCCCTTCAACTGCTATGTAAAATAGAGAAATGTTGTTTTCACCATTTCGATTTCAGTAGGTCGATAGCTTGCTTTATCATCGACGATACTAAGTTTACTCTATTTTCTCACTCTCTCTCCTTTTGATCACTTTACACGTATACATTACAAAGCAGTTCAATGCGACTAAATGCATCTTAAGATGACTCGAAATGATTAAAAATATTGACCTTAAGGCGCATAAATACTGAAACTAAAATAAGGATGCGATGGTGATTCTTATACTACTAGTGCACTAGAATAATTTATTATAGTTAATAGGCAGCCGTTAGTACTGTAATAGGGCAATATTATATCGATAAAATTTCAGTTATCGCTGAAATTTTTAATGAAGTTGTAGTAGTAGCTAAGATGAAGCGGATACGCTATTCGAATAGATTTGCTACTTAGACTATGTTATAACAGCATTCACAGAAGATCAGCACATTTTAGGAAATTTTATCAATTGTAAATACAGTCTGTTATACTCGTATCCTGTCATTTATTGCTAATTTTTCTTAGGAATATCAGTATTATGGGTTATATTGAATACAGTGATGATAATAAAATTGATCATACTTATTATCCTACATAGAAATTAAAATGCTTGTAAATGACGGGCTTTCAATAACTAACCTGTGTTGATCTTTGCCTTGCTTACTTTTATTTGCTAATGATAAGTTCTATTTAATTGATATAAAAACGACTGCGGTACTTCATTTGGAAGGTGATCGGCGGAAAAAAACTTCCATTGAAAGTGAAGCAGAAATAAGATATGCTAAGGAGGAATAAAACATTCAAAAAATAGTCTACATTAGTACCTTAGAACGTTTATAGAAATTATCCTAACGTTTAGAGAGTTAGGCGATCTATATTTACTGTTTAATGATAAAAGATGAAGCAAAATGGAATATTAAATAGGAATTAGACACGACATATCTACAAGCTAATCTGTCATGTTCAATTCTGTTACCGTACAGTTCAGTTTACTATGTAATAACCGTTATTCAATATTTGAATGTTATTTTAATTTCAAATAATCATTTAAAAGAATTTAACCAATCTATAATCCAGTGGGTGAAATAAAATTTTTTCACATCTTATGTTAATGCTGTATTGTGATTGATTTACCATTTTAGTACTATAGGAAAAAGAAGATGATTGGTACAAATATTTGAAATAAATAGTCTTTTTCTAAGAAATTCTATTTTATATTTAAGTTTGGACTGTGAAAGTTTCACTATTAGGACGGCCGACCAGTTTATTTCTATCTTTTATAATTGACGTGAATGATGCAAAACGTTTTTAAAGATAGTTTTCTATAATTGGCCAATATAAGAAGGGTTTTAAACACATGTATCTATCTATACTTACGTGAAAGCTCGAAAAAAATTACTAAAATCGTCCTATAGATAAACTATCAATTTAAAGTATAAAATAGTATAGTACCAAAAAATACGATTAGGAATGTCAAAGTTGTAAAACGAATATTGAACGAAGGTAAAAGTAATTCACGTTATATAATAAACCATGAAAGAATGGAACGGTTGATTGCTAGTGATAGGCTACATAAATCATTTTTTAATATACAATATAAAAGATCGTTGGTAATATCATAATCGGCAGAGAAAATGATTATTTTCTTTATACCATTTGAACGTTTTATGACACAAGCTAACTCTACATCTGCGTAGATTGAAACAAGCCTAAGTAATACATATTGCTTTTATGTTGATACTATATTTTTCTTAACCTACCGAAATGACTGTTATAAATTGAAATAGCGTCGAATAACTCAATTTCCCTCGTCTAATTCAGTTCTATACACGGTATTAGCAATAATTGATGAATCAAAATGAATTCTTTTGGTTCCAACCACGTTGATATTGGTTTTTCCCTCTCCTTTTTTTCAATTTTTTTTTTTGGTGATGAAAACTTCTTTTTCCTCGTTGATTTCAATTGTATTTTTCTTCTATTAATGATATTTTTCTTCTATTAATGAAAGGCCTCCCACTACGATGGTTGAAAATTTTCGATACCCCAACTCTGGTCAATCGGATCTGTAATTTAGTTGGTGGATAAATTGAAAATTAGCAAATAAGACGATTTGCGAGAGAGATTGATTTCTTGTTTTCTGATGGTGGAATATATTTATTTGCTCATTTCTTGCTGTTGCTCGAATATGGGAACTCTGAGGGCCTTTATTATACTATTATAGCGTGATCTAAGCATATTTTAGTCAATCGCGGATAGCTAATGAGAGCTACTAATAATAATTTGTTGTGTCAAAGCAACAGAATACAGACTGTATAGAACAATCCAATTACAATACAAAGGATTAATTAGATATGGACTGTATACTCTACATGAACAGACTTCTTTTGACTAGGAATACAGATGGACGTAGAAGGACTGCGAGTTCATTATCGCGGAAATTTAATTAATCAAAAAGAGGATGTAAAAAAGTTTTAAGAAATGACTGGTAAAGAGCCTCTTGTTATCGATGCTCTATTCGATGAGGAATGTTCTAGTATACAGTCTGTAAGAATGTTATTGGGTAGTTTAATTATAAACGATAGGATACTGTAATATCGAGGGGAGGGGAGGGGAAAGCGAGAGGAAAAGGATTGCCCGAAAGGCAACAGTGAAGAACGCCATGGGCGACTGCCGACATACTCTGCTATACTATCGCTCGCATACGATAGCACTACGGTGGTAGAGGGAGAAAAGGATTTTTCACTTGAAAATGCCATGTCTGACCCAATATTTATCTTTGGACTACTGATCATTGTACTCTTACTAAGTAGAATTGACTTAGCTTGTGTCAAGTATGCATACTTGCTATCTTCTTTCATCGTTTAATCCTTAAAATATTAATCGCATACACAACAAATTGACCAGCAGAATCACTGATCGTTGTTTATTGCCATGACATCAAAGGAACACCTGGAAGATGAAGTAAAACCACAACCAATGTAGGGGATACTACTCAGTTAATCAATACTCTATTAGATGAGTACTGACTAAGGTTGCCATTGTACACGTATCATCAAT